CAAGAAAAGGCTGGAAAAATTAAGTGGTACTTAAGAAAACTGCTGGAGAACATTGTGTAACTAATTATGTCATGAAACTGCTGTGTGGCAAGCAGTGTGTCCACCCAAACGCAAGACTTGGAAGGCAGGAATGAATTGAAAAAGCAGCTTTACTGCTGTTACGTGCAAGACTACATAGTATTCCTGAGTGCAGAGCAGGACCAGGGACACAGATAACTAGAAAACATGAATCAGGGAAACATACAGCCAGAATGCAAGAGGAGAATCAGGACAATAAAAATCGAGAGGAAACGGGTGGGAAACACAGCAGAAACAAATCAGGACTAACAAGAGTGGGGAAGGCAGACAAGACAAGAGACTATCAAAATAAAACAGGAAATACAATTAACTCTGAGACAGAATTAAACTTGACAAACACTAAAGACAGACACAGAGACAAGACTGGAGGAAGAGAAGGGAACACAAAAGGGAACTTAGAAACATGTCATCAACAAAACAAGGGGCGAAAGGCATGAAATAACAAAAAGTCATAAATACAGGGACTTTAAAATCAAACCAGCCTATAAACCCTGAACATAACTTCCTTCTCAAATCCCCCCAAAATGTAAATCCATGTAAGGCTGGAGGAAATGGAAAACCTTTGTGGTCAGATAAAACAAATATTACGTTATTTCTTTCAAATGATAATAGCAATAAAATATTAGCTGCCCCAACTTTATCCAAGAACCTGTCTGTGTGTGTGTGTGTGTGTGTGTGTGTGTGTGTGTGTGTGTGTGTGTGTTTCTTGAAATCTTTGTGGTGAAAAATGCGTGTGCTCCTCAGGTTTGGGATTACGAGTTGGAGAGGAGTGCAGAGCACTGGGCTCACAGCTGCAGATGGGAACATGGACCGAGTCACATGCTGACACAAATAGGCCAAAACCTCGGAGCACACTGGGGCAGGTGCGTGCAGGGAAGTGTCACATGTTTGACAGCTCTGAACAGATGTATCTTTGTCTCCAATACTGTGTATTTAAAGTTAAATGTACACTTTTAAACGTCTCAGCAGTTTAACAGCTAACATCTTAACCCTCCAGTGCTAGAAAGTGGTAAAGTAGAATTAGTTCTGTCTTGACATCTGTAAACAATTTCCTACTCAGTTTATTCAGTCATTTATTTTGTGTCATAATGAATAAAAATTGAAATCTGTTTGTAAACCTCTGTGAATTTTATTTAAGACAGGCGGATGTTCATTAATGACTTGGGATGACCAGCTTTAAGCCAATCAGGTGGTTTCAGTCAGACCCTCACCGTCAAACCAAGAAATCTTTCATCTCGAGTTCAGAACGGACTTCAGGAGTGGATGACGTGACAGTAGCTACATCCATCTTTTATACTTTTAACACTTTTTCTATCACATCAGGGACCGGCCCCCAACCTACCATGTCCAGGCCTGGTATGATGAGGTGAGGTATTATAGCTATCCCTACGCCCAGGAGTGCAACCCACACTGTCCATTCAGGTGTTCGGGACCTGTTTGTACTCATTA